CGGCGGGAGCGCCGCCGCGCTCCCAAGCGGCGCACTGTAGCAGTGCGCCACCGGGCCGGCCCTGAAGATGAATTTCTGATTGCTCAAATAAACTCTTTAAATTTAAATCTGCCCAAGTTATCTTTTAACACTGGACTGTGCAGTCTTTTGTTTTTTTTATTGAAATGTAACTTCCATATGGTAAAATTCACTCTTATTAGTACACAGTTCTGTGAGTTTTGACAAACACATACAGTTAGGTTTCACGATCAAGATACAGAACATCTCGTCCTACCCCTTTGTTGGAAATACCCCTTCCAACTTCCAGCCCTGGCAACCACTGGTCTGTTTTCTACCCTTATGGTTTTGCCTTTCCCAGAATGTCATATAAATGAAATCATATGCTGTGTAGCTTTTCAGTCTGGCTTCTTTCACTTAGCATAATGCATTTGAGGTTCAGCCATGTGATTGTGTGTATCTGTAATTCATTCCTTTTATGTTGATAACATACCGTTAGCCAAACATTCTTAGAATAAAATTTAAAACTGATTGGCATACATGTGATATCACACAGGTTGACTGAAGTATTTTAAAGTAAATTACAGGTATCTAACACCTGCCTTCATGTGGATGTCCATGTGCTGAACTCACCTTCACTGTGACCTAGCAATGTTCCTCTGTAGCCCGTGATTTCCTTCACGTGACTTAACGGAGGCTGCTGCTCCATTGCCTCTGCTGGCCCTCTCCTATTAACTCTTGGGACAAGTACTCTCCATGATTTCATGTGTGGCCAGCGGTGTTGGCTCATGAAATTTGGGTAAACTCCCCATATAATTGTAACATTACCCCTCTCTTGGACCAATTTCTCCTTCAGGCCAATACATTCTTCTTTTTAACTTGTAAATTTTTATGCAAGTATTTTATCAAAAGAATTTCTAGAATAGCACTATCCAATAAAAATATAATACAAATCATACATGCAATTTAAAATTTTCCAGTTAGGCTGTTTTTAAAAAGGAGAAAAAATATTAATTTTAATAATATATTTTATTTAACTCAAATTCTTATTTCAACATGTAATCAATATTAAATAGCTATTAATGAAATATTTTACTTTTTTTGTACTGTCTTTAAAAATCTAGTGTGTATTTTAACTTACAGCACATCTGTAATACAATTCAGACTAGCCACATTTCAAGTGTTCAAATGCCACATGTGGCTAGCAGCTACCATACTGGACATCACTGGTCTGTAAAGAACTGTGAAGGTTAATTCTAGGTGTCCACTTGATTAGATTAAAGAATACTGAGAAACCTCGTAAAACTGTCTTTTTAGGTGTGTCTATGAGGGTGTTTCCAGAGAGATTAGTATGAGAATCTGAGTGAACTGGGTTGGAAAGATCTGCCTTTGATATGGGTGGGAACCACCTAATCCACTGGGGGCCCAGGAAAAACAAGAAACAGAAAAAAGGCGAATCTCTCTTTCTGCTTTGCCATTCTGCCATGTGAGACCCCTGTGTCACTGTCACCCCGAACAAGGCCTTCACCAGATGTGTTCCCTGGACTTTGGAATTCCCAGCTTCCAAAACCATAAGCAATACATTTTGTTTTCTTATGAATTACTCGGTTCCAATATTTTGTTATAAGCAACAGAAATGGACTAATACAGGAACCGTTAACAAGACCCCCTTAGCTGAGAGGGGGAGGGAGTGAGCTGTGGATAAGAACACTTCAGAACAGGTTTTGGTTTGCAGACTTTCATAGACATTATCTCATGTAGTGTTTGTAGTATCCCTGTGAGATCATTATTTTCACCATCGTGGTTTTGCAATGAGAAAATTAAGGCTCTGTGGGGTGAGAGTAGCTGCCCAAGGATCCTCAGCAAACATGTGACATAGCCAGCTTCTCTCCCCACACCACCTCCCAGGAAGCAGAGACCCAACAGTCGAATCCTCCTTAACAATTTTGGATAAATGCTCGCATTAAAATAAAAGGCCGGTGGTTCTCAAACTTTAATGCTCATAAGAATTTCCCAATGTGCTTGTTTAAAATGAAGATTTGGGGGCCCCAAACCCAGACAGACTTATTCAGTAAGGCTGAGCTGGGAACCCAAGAATCTGTGTGTTTATTAAGACCTCCAGGTGATCCTGACACAGGTAGTCAGTCCTAGGGACCACGAGTTTTGATACATTACCTTGGTTTTCAAGCATGTGTAAGATCCTCAAAGGAGGGTGCTACTAATGAATTGAAATTCATGTCAGAACGTCAGAAAGTTGTCTGACCTTTGGCAATTCAAGAATCCCAGAGAGGAGGCATGTTCACAAAGTGGAATACTGCAGAGTTATAAAATTATGCTCTAGAAGATTTAACGACAAGTAAAGATGTTTGTTGTACAGTAGTTCCCTCTTGCCTGCAGGTTTCCTTTCCACTGTTTCAGTTATGCATGGTACAGTACGATAAGATATCTTCAGAGAGAGAGAGAAACCACATTCACATAACTTTTATTACAGTATATTGCTATAACTGTTCTATTTTATTATTATTGTTGCTAATCTCTTACTGTGCCTAATTTATAAACTAAACTTAATCATAGATATATATGTAGAAGAAAAAATAGTGTATATAGGGCTTGGTACTATCTGCAGTTTCGGGCATCCACTGTGGGTCCCGCAAAGTATCCGCTGTGGATAACTGGGCGGGGGGGGGGGGGGGGTTACTGCACATTGTGTAAAAAAGGAGGTTACCAGATTTGCGAATTTTTCTGTAGAATGTTATACTTCTATGAAAAGCTTTAAAAAAGGAAGTTACCAGATGTTACAATTTCATCCCATATTTACAGAAAATTTATTTATGTATACATATAAAATCATATATTTATTTATATATACTTACGTATTTATGTATCCACATAAAATGAATGAAAACCACCAAAATATTCACAGTGATTATCACCGCTGTATAGAGTTATGGATAATTTTTATTTATTTATTTTTTGGCTGGTACAGGGATCTGAACCTGTGACCTTGGTATTATAAGGCATGGATAATTTTAAAACTTTCTTCTTTCACCTTGATGTTTTTTTCTGAATTTTCTACAATTAACGTGGTATTTTAATAAAAACTAAGAAAAACATTTTAAGGAAATAGCCAATCATAAAGAGAGATCTTGAAAGACAGCCCAACTAGTAATCATTTCATTCTATAGGTCTTAGAAAAGATTACATTTGGTGGTTTTTTAAAAAAAAAAATCCGTTTTCTCATTTGTGATATAAATGAATACCATTCATGCTCAATAGGCTTGAATAATTACTGTAAAATTTTAAAAGTCAACTGTCAGGCCCTCTTCCAGGCAGGGAACTCTTTAAGGAGTTTAGGCTTCTTTGGCACTGACTAGAGGCCCCGCACTTTGCTTCTCGGATGCCTCTAAGACCCGGGGGCAGGCAAAAGGTTCAGAGGGGAGCCGTGTACATCGCCTTGGGCAAAGACACAGAAAAACAGTTGTCGATTTAATACATAAGCGGATCTGCAGTCAGACCCCAGTTTCTCTGTTAAACGGAACGGCTAATGAATGGATCTCGTTAATGTGCATGTTCTGACAGTTTCAAGATAGATATCTGAGTGTGTGCGTATGTAGCATGAAGTGTATTTTCTTGAAAATGAAAGCTTCTTTTAATGAAAAAAAAAAGTCCTTTAGGGGCAGGCTCTCTGGCTTCTAGTAAGTTCCTAATACAGCCTTCAGGTGGGCAAATCTCCCGTGGGCAGGGCCTCCGCTGCACCGGGGTGGACTTGAACCCGCGCGTGGGCGCCGGGGCAGGTAACGAGCCCGTTTCGTCGCCTCGCGAAGAAACACAGCAGCGGCCCTGGTGCCGCGAGCCGGCCCCGGCAGCCGCGCCCTGCGCCTCGGTCTCCTCACCTGGAAAAGCTGGGAAGAGCAGCATTTGCTTCCTAAGGTTTTGTGAGCAGTACACGAGCGCTTCATCCGGAGTGCGGAGCTTCACGCCGGCCTGGACAAAGCGCGACCCATGCTGTGGTCAGTGCTGCCGCCGCCGAGAAACTGTCACCAGTGAGCCAGTGAATAAAATGGAGAAAATGCTTGCACAAGGGCCTTGGCCAGGGCCTCCGGGGACTCCAGGCCCTTCCGTGGGTACCGCCGCCGCCGGGGCGCGCAGGTCCGGAGGGGTGCGGCCGGGGGGCGGG